TTGTTGTTGTTGATCATGGGGCTAACTCTGTGCCTAAGCGCTATCCCTCAGCTCTTCAGCTCAAGGTGACACTCTACCATCTGAGCCACAGCACCACTTCCAGTTTTCTGAGTGGTTTATTGGAGATAAGAGTCTTGCTGACTTTCCTGCCTGGGCTGGCTTTGAACTGTAATCCTCAGATCTCAGCCCCCTGAGTTTACAAGTGTGAGCCACCAGCACCCGGCATATTTCTATCTTTATTTTGCCAGTACCAGGGTGTGAACTCAGCCTCATGCTTGCTTGACTGGCATTCTACTACTTTCTACTACTTGAGCCACACTTCCAATCCAACTTTTTGCTGTTTTTTTTTTGTCAGTTGTGGGGCCTGAACTCTGGGCCTGGCACTGTCCCTCAGCTCTTCAGCTCAAGGCTAGTGCTCTACCACTTGAGCCACAGTACCACTTTTGGATTTTTCTGCTTATGTGGTGCTGAGGAATTGAGCCCAGGGCCTCAAGCATGCAAGGCAAGCACTCTACCATTGAGCCATCTTCCCAGCCCTTTGCTGGATTTTTTTTTTTTGGGTCCGGTTGTGGAGCCTGAACTCTGGGCTTGGGCACTGTCCCTCAGCTATTCAGCTCAAGGCTAGCACTCTACCACTTGAGCCACAGCGCCACGTCCGGCTTTTTTCTTTTTGTTTATGTGGTGCTGAGGAATCAAACCCAGGGTCTCAGGCATGCAAGGCAAGTGCTCTACCACTGCGCCACCTTCCCAGCCCCTTTGCTGGTTATTTTGGAGATGAAGTCTTATGTTTTTTTGTTTGTCAGTTGTGGGGCTTGAACTGTGGGCCTGGGCGCTGTCCCTCAGCTCTTCAGCTCAAAGCTGGCATTCTACCACTTAAGTCACAGTGCCACTTCCGGTTTTCTGAATGGTTTATTGGAGATAATTGTCTCACAGACTTTTCTGCCCAAGCTGGCTTGAACTGTGATCCTCAGATCTCAGCCTCCTAAGTATCTAGGATTATAGGCACGAGCCACCAGTGCCTGGCTGTTTTTTTTCTGCTCCCTCCCTCCCCCTCAGCCACCCAGTTCTGGGACCTGAACTCAGGGCCTGGGCACTGTCCCAGAGCTTCTTTTGCTCAAGGCTAGCACTCTACCATTAGTCATAGCCCCACTTCTGGCTTTTCCTGTTTATATGGTACTCAGAAATCGAAACCAGGGCTTCATGCATGCTAGGCATCTACCACCATGCAACATTCACAAGTGTGAGCCATAGGTGCCTAGCTTAGAACGTTTTTTCTTTTTCTTTTTGTCGGTCATGGGGCTTGAACTCTGGGCCTGAGCGCTGTCCCTCAGCTCTTCAGCTTAAGGCTAGCGCTCTACCACTTGAGCTACAGTGCCACTTCTGGTTTTCTGGTGGTTTACTGGTTTCACGGACTTTCCTGCCCGGGCTGGCTTTGAACAGCAATCCTCAGATCTCAGCCTCCTGAGTAGCCAGGATTACAGGAGTGAGCCACTGGCACCTGGCAAATGCTTTTCTTTATGCTAGAATGTCAACCAATCACTGTGGGCCATTCTAGTAATAATTCAGTCAAGAAACTAGTGACATACTCAAGTACCAAATCAAATCTTTGATAAGCAAGTTTCAAAGCGTCTCCCTACAAAGTACTTACCTGGAGATAATACCTCACCTAAGTAAAATCACCAATAATGGTGATTACAGGCATAATGGAAGATAGCACCATTTCTGATATTCTTGCCAAAATGCCTAACCTGAACCAAGATCTGAGCTGACTGTTACAAATGCAATCTTAAATGTCAAGGTAAGGAAG